ATAGAGACCAAACAGATGAGCGATAATTTACAACTTAACAGCTTTATTTTTGGGGGGCTGTTCTCATCTTAACCATCACCTCAGCGAGTCATCCTCCTCCATGTCAATCTGTTCTCTGTGTCCTCTGTCCCCCTCCCATGTCCTCTCTAACTGCTGCCATTTATCTCCTGTTTGACCTTCCTATTTGTCTATTTCCTGGCAGCTCTACTTCTAACACCCTTGTAATCCGGCTTGAACACAAAAAAAGGATAGTCTGGTCATTTTTGAAGTGACGTTCTGTTAAACAGTATTTTTTACTTTATCAGCCCCGGTCATAGAGAATGGAGTATGAAGAAAAGGACATACGTTTTGTCTAGGCTAGGCTAATAGCTGCCCAAACAAATGTGCGCATTTGTGTTTGTGAGTGTCTGTGTGTTTGGGGGGAGGCATTTTAAATGGTTTTATGCTTGTGAAAGTTTTTTTTTTCTTAAAAACAACATAGCAGTATGGAATAATGCTACATAAGCTAATATTTAACCTCTACTCTTTTGCCTACCAGATTATTTGTAATAGCTTTCTCAAACCAAAAACATGTTCACTATATGTTTGTACATGCACTGATCACATTTGCCAATGATACTGAAGCTGTAAATGTAATCAGATTATCAGTGTGCCAGTCCATATGTTTACTAAACTCCTGATGGAATATCACTTCAGAAATGTCTTTACTGTCCCTTCACTGGCAAAACAAGTAAACAAAATTCACATCATCAAGGGCCCATTCTGTAAAAGGAATACATAAACATGTTTGAGCCATTTGGCCTGAAACATGCAAAGCATCAGTGAAAATTTGATTTTTTGTTTGTTTGCCTGAGGAGAACATATATGAGAGGTGTCTGTATGTGTGGATAAACCAGTCCTTCTCAATTAGTGGGGCGCGCCCCCCTGGGGGCCCGGGGCAATGCCAGTGGAGGCGCATGTGACCCTAGAAAACATGCTTTTTTTGCGCAGGGAGTAGTTTTTTTTTTTTCACCATTCTCATTTTGTCGCATGCGTTCCTAATAATAAAGTTATGAACAAATATGGCTGCCTTGTCCTTTTGGGAGCCATGCATGAACTGTGTCTCTCCCCTCTGCTTCTGACATGATAAATAAACTCCGACCATCCGTCACCTCCTCCGTCCTGCTGTTTTTATGTCCATGCGCTCTGGACTCAGTGTTGCCAGGTGAGAAATGTAGGATTATTGTACTAGAAACATCAAATTATCGTATTTTGAGTGAAATTATCGTACACCCGTCATAACCAAAATAACAAATCTATTTATTCACTACAGTAGTGATGGGTCTGCGTCCAGACTGACTCCGCTTCTTCTCCTTTTCTTATTTTCTTTTCCTCACTCATGGGGCGGGCGCAGCGGACTATTCATCCAATCATGGCCGTTGTTCTGAGGCAAACGCAAACACGTCACTCGTAGGTAACATTTAGAAAAGCCCGATTGGCTGGAAATTCCAGCCAATCGTGGCATCTGTTTGCGGACACAGATGCCTTCAGGGTTCACAAAAACACTCCAACAGACAGTTGCGAGAGGCTGATGGCAACCGATTACAACCACACATTCACGGAATGGTCAAATTATTGTATATTTGGCCTTTTTTGGGATTATTGATCGTACATCGTACAGATGGCAAAACTGTCGTACAAATACGATAATTATCAGACACCTGGCAACACTGACTGGACTGGACGTCACTCACAGCTCGCATGCAACAAAGAGTAAACTCAAAGCGAGAGCGACACCCGCCCCCTCTTTCCTCTTTTGCGTTGACTATATGTTTAGTTTTATCAATGAGTTTGTCAAAGCACAGTTTATAAAAGTAATGTTTAATAAATGTTAGGACTCTATTCTTTGCTAACAAAATAAATTCACCTCCGCAGTTAAGCTGCTGTTTTATGACGCCCTGGACACTTGTCACCCACAGCATGCAGGCGACAAAGAGTAAACTCAAAGCAAGATGGTTACCTGCTCCACTTTCTTCTTTCATGTTGACTTTTTTTTTGTTTGTTTTATCGATGAGTGTGCTTATTGATCCTGACTTCCTCATTTTGATGTTAAAAAAATCAGCACAAATTATTTTATTCATTTTTGTTTTATAGGTCAAAGTGTTTTATAAAACGCTCCTGAGTTAAAATCTTGCTGATCAATTTGAATTTATTCTTATTTGTTGATTACATTTAATTTTATTTTTCAGTATCAAATGGTCAAAAATGTTTACAGTTAAAAAAATTAGGACACAATGTTAGGCAGAGGTGTACTTATAACAGTTTTATAGACATATTATTTACAGTCGCGGCGGAGAGTTGGGGGGCGCGAAATGTTTACTTCTTCCTGGGGGGGCATAACAGAAAATAATTGAGAAGCACTGAGCTAAACAGTGATTTATGGCTGGAACTTTTCGAATGAAAATATAAGGGTTTTAAGCTGTTTTTGTTTGTGTATTAAACCCCCCTGTGGTCATTAAGATCAGCCCAATAACTTTTGATTAGTTTTTTTGTGATGAAAACAGAACATTGTGATACATGACAAGTCATTTTTCTTCTGCTTCTTTTCAGACCCAGTGATCAGAACGAAAGCATCATGATGGAAGTCGTGGAAGACGCTCATAAATACATTATAAGTAGCAGGGTACCATCTCACATCTGTCATATTGATATCATAAAGCACAACTTCTTCATCTGAGACATTATCATCCCTTCCAACACTGAAGAGATTCACGCAAATTATTCTACTCTGCGAGTCACAAAATGATTGTGAAGAAAAATGATGTTGTAAGCGTGAATTATTTCACAGCCTGCATTTTTAACATATTGGCTGTCATCATTCAGGCACACTGCATCTTTATTATCTCCACTGAGTGCATTTACGTACACGTAGCAGTGTTAATAACTGGTTGCACCCCACTTATTGTTCTGTCTCTGAACAGCTGCATCTTTATATACAACTGTAAGAGACCTACCCGTATTTAGTATAGCCCAGTTCTCTAGAATGGTACTACACTTCATTTTTCTAATAACTTAACAATTGTAAATGGGATTTATGGAACAAAAGCTATCTCAAATCCATTCTAAATGTGCACGTATTTGCACTCACTGCTGTCCCCAGCATCACCATATCTATGGTTTTGGTTCCCTGCTGATGTGTAGAACGGTAGAACAGGAAATTGAAGGAGAACCTCTAACCTTTTGGTCCATCCCAGAGTAAGCACACCCCTAAAAAATTAACAAATGCATAGTCTTCACGTTCCCCCCTCTTGTATTCCTCTCACATTTTTGAGGGGGGGAGGGGGCTTTATCTTTTGTATGTGTACATAAAGGCAATTTAAAATCTATAGTTTTGTACATGTAATTTTTATGGTGTGTGGATATTTTCTAATAAAACAAAATAAAATGAAATGGGTGATTCTTTCCAAGACCGGCTCGTGTTTTGTATTTTGTTTCCTAATCACTATTTAATGTTTAGTCACGCTGTAGCTCATTTAGCTTCATGACAGGTGGGGAAATAATCCCACGAGTCTAAAAACATTAAACGCTGTTGCTAGATGCAATCTTTAACACCAGTGGTTGTCAAACTGTGGGTTGCACCCCCCCATTCTGTATCATTACAGGGGTGATCCTGCTACCACTGCTGGAACTGAGCACTACAATCAGTTTGTGTCTGTTGTTCTTCCAAACCTGTTTACTCACGTGTGTCAGCATGTAAATGTGAATAAAACAAAATAGAAGACTTCTGACTTCAACTGACAGTACAAAGTTTACTTAAAGTAATATTTTCACTGAAACGTTTCGCTGACGTCATGTAAGCCACTCACGATTAAAAAAAATAAATATCACAAAACAGAACAGTCTCTTTTAAGAAACGGCCTCAGTGAAAGTTAAAACATAAAACCTCTAACACTGTCATAAAAGTGGATTCAGTATTTTTTTTGCAAACACCTGCTCAAAATGTTGTTTTTTTTAAGTTAATTTAACTTTATTATCTATTTTAAGATATACAATGATATAGACTCATTAAATTGCTGGATAAATCCTCTCATTTTCCAACGTTATTTTCTCAAAAGAGCCACACTCAACGGCAGGTGAAGATTTTCAACTGGCGTTTTAAAAAAATATATATATATTATTATTATTTTGCAAGGACTCATTTAGGACTGTGATCTATGTTGTGTCCTGTCATGTCTCTAATCCTTGTGTTTCCTGCACTCCCCAGTGTCTTTCTTCCTTGTTGTTCTGCTCCTGTCTCTCCTGCCTCCAAGCTTCATCACCCCAGGTGTTTGTCATTCCTATTAGTCTCCCTAAATATATTCAGCTTCTCTGTGTTTTTCCTTTGTCTGTGGATTGTGTTTCCAAGCCCGACATTTTCTGTTCCTCTTGTCGTTTGCACCCTTCAAGCAAGTTTTTGCTGCCCCATCAGATTTTGTTTTGCTTAAATAAATAACGATTACTTATTTTTACCTTGGTGTCTCCTGCGGTCTGCCTGCACGTAGGCTCAACATCTTAAACAGATCATGTCAGAATCCATGGACCATACTGAACCCAGCAGGCAGACAACTCTGAGTGTGTGGCTTGAGGTGGACAAGACTGCCCGGTGTGAAAAACAGGAATGAGAGTGCACAGAGTGCACAGTTCATCTGCTGATGCAGCGGGTTCCAGCCCAGACCTGCTAAGAGACGAAGACATCGCAGCCCAGAGGTGGAGATCCTTCCCTCACTTCTTTTGGTGGAGGAAGAAGAGAGTGTCTTTCTGGGGTTCGCTGGTGGATCTGACCAGAGACACCATGAGGAGGACTCGCCGGGAACTGCCCAAGGTAGATGATCGTCACAGAGACAGCTTCAGGGGTCTGTGAGGCAGCAGCTGATGAGAAGTTGCATCATCCATCGCAACCTTCAGCTAAGACTGTGACTCTTGCAGTGAGAAAAGGCTTCATCTTCTGCAGTTAGTTAAACTGCTAACATTTGTAATTTGAGCGACATGTTTATCTGCTCAGGAATTGAACGAGTGGACCTAAGCACAACCTCCAGGATCAGGTCCACAGACGAACCGTCTTCCGGTTCGGGGCCGGAGACGAACTGCTCAGTTTGGGGGTCCAAGGCGAACTGCCCTTTACACAAAGCAACTTTGTGCAAAACAACAGCTCTGAGAAGATCGTTTTGACTGTCTAGAGAACATTGTGGCTGCCCTCTGAAGAAAACAGCTTCCAGCTCAAAGACTACTTTTTCACAGGAGTCTATGAAGGAATAATCACTTTCTGAAAAACAGAACAGAGAAATATGTTATTCACAATGTAATATTTCACATGATTTCATTATAATGATTGAAAACAACAATCAAAATTATTCATGTTCACACTTGTTAATCAAATAAAACAAACTTCATTAATGATTTGTTTTTCTTTCTTAGAAACATAGGAAGAATAAAATAAACGTTAGTCAGACTGTAGCTGATTCTGTGCCAAAGGACAGGAAATGTGTAGAAAAACATCAGACATTATTGAAGTCAAATGTAACTTTAAAGAACACGATTCATGGTGAGTCTGGAAGATGAATAAGGGTCAGGGGTCATAATTTGAGCAATTCATGCTACACTATGAAAATATTGAGCACTTTTATATTTATGTTTATTGTTTATTGACAAAGCCTTCCGGATGGAAAGTGAAACGTTTCAGAAAAAAGAAAGGAGGAAGAGGGCTGGCTCCAGAGAAGGGGCGTGTCAAAAACACCATCTTAGCACCAACATAACTGGTTTGTTCCACTTTGGAGTAAGCTGTTTGGGGGAAGAATCAGGTTTGTGTTGTGTTTCCTTGACTGATGAAGCCTTTTGGATGGAAGGTGAAACATTTCAGCAAAAAAAAATAAAATAAAACATACTGTCCTGATGACCTGGCTGAAAATTGTTTTGTTATGTTTATCGTGTTTCTGTTCTCAAACTGCAGTTTAGTGTTATAGTTTTAAAAGATGATTGCTCATTCTTTTATATGTATTTATGAATAATCAACGTTCTTTATTTTGAAAAAATAAAATAAAAAATCCATGTAGAAATCCAGAATCAAAATGGCACAAAATATTGCCATACTTTTTTTTTTTTTTTTGAACTGTGAGAATTTTTTTTAATAATTGTGAAAATCTGGACTCTTTTTTTTTTTTAGTTTCTGCAAAGTTCAACTTTCACGAGAAATTACCAAGAAAGAATATCAGAGAAAAAGCAGGAAACACTTCAGAGCAACTGTTACCTGAAGAAAAACCTGGAGATCTCACATCTGTTCTGAAAACAATGTGAGGAGTAGCCCTTGGATAGATTATTTGAGCTGCATGTATGGACATATTCATTCAACCTTTATTTATACAGGTTAATCCCATTGAGCCTCTGGGACTCATTTACAGGAGAGACCTGATTTTAACAAAGAGTGATGATAACAGTAGACAATCATAAAAAAACATACACACTGTGAAGAACAAATAAAAGAAAATGGTATTTAAAAAAATTAATTAAAAAAAACAGCTAGGTTGTAAAGTGATTTAGAATACTAAAAAACAGGAACGTGTCTGCATTGGTTTTTGCCAGGAACTTAGCGAATATATATTAATACAATCCTAAAATAATGGGCACACCTCACTTTCCTCCAGATACTGCAGCTGTTGTATTGCTCTGTCTCACACCCAGAAAACTCAGTCTTCTCATTTCCAGCTGTGATGTTATCACACGTGTTTTTGTTTTTGTTTTTTTTTTGTCAAGTAAAATGTTTGTGAAAGTGTAAGTCACGTTGTTTTTACATCGTAAACGGTGTTTTTCATTTTTCTGCACCCCCCACCTTTTTTTTCTTGAAAAGTAAAAACTATCTGAAACATTTACCTATTAAATTTCCATTACAAACGTTTCCTCGTTGGCAAACGTATTCCTGGAGTTGTCCAGTAACTGCTAACACCTCAAAACAGAGAGGCCTGTTAGCAACATGAATGGATACCATCACACTGGCATCCAAGAGAACACCGTTCCTGAGAAGAGCAACTTTCAGAGACAATTAGGGTAGTTTATCATTTTTGAAAGCACCATGGGTATCTTCACACAGCAGGAAAGAAAGTGAGCTATCTGCTGTCTTAGACAGGTGAAATTGATCAAACTTGTCTCTTTTGGTTTCAGAGTTGTTACTGTCAGTTTTATACCCTCCGCAACAACCTTACAATTGGTAAACTGTCATGTGCTGGCAAGTTCTAAAGGATTCTAATGATTGCAAGACACCAGAGGATGGTAAGTGGAGGAAATTTTCAATTTTTACACAAAATCCAGCTGTGCTTTGAGACAGAAGGTCCACAAATTTCTAGTAATGATAACTGAGGGTGGTGCAACATGAATACCTGAACTGATGAGAATATTGTAAAGAAAACACAAAGTCTGTGGAAGAATAAATATAAATCCAGGAGAATACAGGTAAGGAAGAACAAACGATATATGTGACAATTAGGAAACTCAAATATGTTTCTCAGAGGGGAAGAACACAATATCTGCTTAGAAAACCACAGCAGAGATGAGTGTTTTTGGTACTGGAATTGATCAGGGAATGCAAATTAACCTTAATATTTTAGAAAGATATTGAAGCAGGTAGGAATTAAACTGTGCATAAGAAGTTTTGTTTTTTGTTTTTTCTTGTGCTAGACAGTGCAGTGAAGGATCCTGTGAGTGGAGGGAGCAAATGTATCCACCACCAGGT